ATGGATGCTTCACGGGAGCTGCGTCTGTCAGGCCACCCACCCCAAAACCAGGCTGGCGTCAGGTGAGCGACCGCCGGCAGCTACTTCAAACTGAGCCTTCCCAGGCGGGCGGGGCTTGTTTCGGAGCCCTTAATGACTCAGCGCAGCTCTGCTCAAACTCAGAGAAAGCGCCCGGGAGCGCCGGATCCCCTGCGGGAGTGGCTAAGGGGCGGGTCTGTCCGCAACTGGAGCACTGGTAACGCGGCCAGATCGGGAGGAGCCACGCGTCGCGATGTGATGACGTCAGGCCACGGGCCGAGCTTGGCGAGTTTGACGTGCGCTGCAGCGTGTGGGCGTTTTGGTCCCAGCTCTTGAGCTGAGGCTGAGATTTCCTTCAAACCCGGAATGTTACCGCCTGTTGTAACTGGAGATGAGGATGAGGAAGAGGAACCAGCCGAGGAGGATTGTCCTGAATTGGTTCCCATTGAGACGAAGCAAAGACAGGAAGAGGAAAAGCTTGGCCCCGGCGCCAAGATCCCAGTCACCATCATCACCGGGTATTTAGGTAACTAATCATCCCGGTCAGGAAATGCCGCGAACTCAGATTTGGGGGGCTGCTGTGTCGCCTGCCTTAGGCTCTGGGGCCCTGTGGCCGAGAGCAAATGTTTGAGGTAGGAGCTGGGTCACTTGCTCTTCGTGTGGATTTCCACCCCATTACTCACGTGAGATTGGAAGTGAGCTTCGCGTTTCGAAACAAGGCTTTGAAGCCTGCACCCACCTTCTCATTGTCCTGATGAATCAGAGTTCAAATGCCTTGACATAATTACGAGGACCTGTATTGCCTGGCTCTTGCAAACTCTCCAGCCTGCCAGAAAGTGGCCCAGCACTTTAGCTGATTTACTTCTTAAAAGATGCTCCCTGGGATGCTTTTCTTCTTACTGTTACTTTGGCTAGATGTCTCTTCGGTTCTCCATCGCGTGTAGTAATCTCCTTGCTGAATGTGTCATCACATAGCGTAACTGCTTCACTCATCTAAACTCCCCACTATTTCCTGAAGTCTTTTTATTCACTGTTTATTGGTACATTTTAGGTGTACGTTATGATCACATTCATCTTTGGGAATCTGGACCTGTACAGGATATATCTTGGTTCTTGGTTTTTGTTTGTTTGTTTGTTTTTTAACATTCTGCTTCCCTCCCTTTTCCCCCTCCCCATTTACAAGAACTTTACGCTTTTACCTTCTTTTCTCATATTTTTTCTTCGCCTTTTTTCCTTTCCCCCTTCCCTACTTCCCTTTCCCCTTTGAACCGTTTCTCACTATTTCACATCTATTTTAGGTGTCATGGAGGCAGAAATTGCCGCCATTTTCACTCTCACGCAAGGCCCAGCATAAATCTGGTCATCTGGTCCATAGTTGATACTCTTGAGTGAGTGACCTGTATCTTAAAGTTTTTCTTCTTCAAAACATAGTTATTTCTTAAGCTCTGGTAATTCTACTAGAGGGTTTCTTACATTTGCACCTGTCTTTAATTTTCACTGGTTCAGAAGTCTGTCTCACACTTGGACTAACTTTAAGAATTTCCTCATTGCTCTGTCTCCTTAAAGTCTGTACCTTCTTTTTACAAATTTAGTTCTATTTTGTTTATTTATTTTGTTATTTTTGAGACAGTGGCTCACTTTTTAGTTCAGGCTGGCCTTGAACTCACTACGTAGCTCAGGCTGGTTGTGAACTGCAGGAGATCCTCCTACCTCAGCCTCCCAAGTGCTGAGATTCCAGGTATGTGCCACTCTGCCCACTCTAGTCTGTACCTTCTATATGTCACACTTGTGTAATATGGAGCTTCACCAAGCCCTCTAAACATGTTTTCATCTCTTCAAAAAGCTTTTTTTTTTTTTCTTTCTTTTGGTACTGGGAACTCGAGCCCTTGCGCTCTCAAGGCCGGCGGCGGAAGCACTGAGCTAAATCCCTGGCCCCTTCAAAAGCTTTTAAAGGACTATAACTAAAAGTGTTGAAGATATTATTACCCCAGTACTTCCTAAGTCTTTCTTAGATACACCGTACAGACTTGCAAATGTATTTCAGCAGACAAGTAAGAGGTGTGATCAAAATTACAGTGATTGTTTACAAAATTTATTGTAATAAAAGGCACATTGCCACTACCCTCTACCTCGAATATTCTCTTTGAACACACTGATTGTTTTTGCAACTTTCTGGAGCAGTTGGGGACACCTTATTGTGTGTCTTTATGAGATGTACTCAAAAACAGGGCGAATGCTGCTGCAGAAAATCGGGCTTGTAAAAACAGTATGGTCTGCCGGGCGTGGTGGCGCATGCCTGTAATCCCAGCACTCAGGAGGTTGAGGCAGGAGAATCGCTGTGAGTTCGAGACCAGCCTGGGCTACATAGTGAGTTCCAGGTCTGTCTCAACTACATAGTGAGACCCTGTCCTCAAAAAAACAACACCACACACACAAAAACAATATGGTGTGCCTCTATCCACCACGGTCACTGGACCCGGCGGTGCGGGACTTCCGGCTTTTCCCCCAAATCAAATTGACTGTGAAAGCATTTTGAATAGTTTCAGGACATCAAAACAGCCAGGACAGTGCGACTAAAAGACATGCAACAAGACTTCAGAGCTGCTTCAGAAAGTGGCAAGAATGATGGGAGAAATATATTCAAAGACAGGGTGTATTTTGAGGAGAATTAATGGTAATGTGTCTTTGACTAATATATTTTTAAATATTTCCTTGTACAAGCTATGTACTTTTAAAATCTTTCAGTCACTGTTTATAACAGTAAAATGAGAATCACTAACAGAAAATAATATTCTTTTATTTATATAATTGAATAGTCCTGCTATGCCGTGAAGGTTTTCTTTCCTTTAAAAAGTTTAGTTTGGTGCACAGGATGTTTCTTCTGTTTGACAAGATTATACAGTACTAGGATTAACGTGCCACCTACTGGATAGAGTTAGTATAGTTTATGTGTTTCTAAATGCTGAATATTGTGTCTTACGCTTCCTATTTCTGTTCCCCAGTTCATAAAAATTCGTTTTATAGTTTAAGCGTGCTAAAAGTGGCCATGTAGTCTGAATTTATATCTGATTAATTGATATGGAAAGAAAAGGTCTTCATATGTAAACTTTAGGTATGTAAATCAAATATCCTTGGTTTAGAAAAATAGTCATCCTGTAAAAGGACTTACACATATTAAATGTTTAGAATTAGACCGTATTTCTTAGAGGCCACTACTTCATGGATTCCTTAGTCAATAGAAGTTTTAGGTGCCCTTATGATATTATAAGTTTAGAAGACTACATATTAAACTGAAGAAAAACTGATTGAACTTACAGGATTATTTGTAAATATTTATATATGAAGCATTTGTAAAGCATATTAGAGTAGTTTTGAAAGATTGCTTTCATCTTTTTTTTTTTTTTACAATCCCCCATACCATGAGTGTCCAACCTTGTGGCTTGCTGGGACTATTGTCTTGAGTCTCTTAAAAAAATATTTCATGTAGTTAATCTATATGTAACAAAACTTCCTTTAAAAATGTATTTTATTTTATGTAAAAATATTATTACAGGGCCTCATTACCTGCTGTGTAGGGCCACATGTGTCTCCTAGGCCTCAGGTTAGACACACCTGGGTCTATCGCATGCTTGAGTATTATATGGAAAATAGCACATAGATGCTTAAAAACATTAAACATTTTAAAATTAGTCTTTGTATCTTTAATAGTAGTCTTTCAGTTTTGTTGCTTTGTTTTATAGGTGCTGGAAAGACAACACTACTGAACTACATTTTAACTGAGCAACACAGTAAAAGAATAGCAGTTATTTTAAATGAATTTGGTGAAGGTAAGTAGAAGTCAATAAGTGTCATGTTGCAAGAACTTACAGGACAGTTTATTCCACTTGTGAATTGATATTCTCTATTTTAAAATGAGGATAGAAAGTATTATAATGTGAACACATTGATATGGATAGTTCTGGAAGAATTAATTTCTGTCAGGCTTTAGTTTGTATGAATTTGGGATACTGAAATAATTTCTATAAAATTTTATTTTGTTTACCTTTGTAATTCATACTAACAGAATTAACTTAGATTTTTACATAAGTGATTCTCGTGGTCAAAATCTTGAAAGTGCTTTTAGCAACTAAAAAGTGTTTTTGTACTGACTACACATTGTGTATTACAATTCATAAAAAACTTTTTGATGGGTGGGGTTCTGCCCCTCAGTGGTTCTGCCGCCTGCTTTGCGAGGTCCTGAGTTCGATTCCCAGTACCAAAAAAACAAACAAAAGCAAACCACTTTTTGAAAATGCTTTAGATGTAAGTTCACGTTGAATGTTATCTGCAAAGCAGTTAAAACGAAAGGTTTTAAAAATAAGTTAAAGGGATAGTCTCTACCCTCAAGCACCTCAAATTATCTATAAAAATATGTCTACTTTTTCAGTGTTTTGGCTTTAATATTAAACTATGGTTTAAACAGTCTGTACAGCAGTATTAGATATAATACTTTGACTACTTTTACAGAAATTTTTCTTCACAAGTATGAAGTTTAATAAAATCTCACTTTCAGCCAGAAATAGTTTGTTAGAATGTTTTTTAAAATATATTATTTTTTTCAGTTGTAAATAGGTAAAAGAACTAGCTTTTATGAGCAGAATGGAACACATGTGAGTAAAACTTGATTTCTAGATCTAGTAAAGAGAAAAATTCTTTTAGACAAAATAAAAATTTTAAGATGTTTTTCTTTTTTCTTATTCATTTTTTGTTTCTGTTTTTGTTTTCACAGTTGGTAGAGGTCAAACCCAGGCCTCACATATGCTGGGCAAGCGCTCTACCACTGAGCTATACCTCCAACCCCTTAGAAATCTTAGGATTTCTAAAAATAGTTTTGTTCCTAGCCTCTTCTTAACTTTCTCTTGCACACTGGTTATAGTTACTGTATTTTCTTTGTCTTTTTCTTCATTGTTTGGGATAATTTTCACAATTTTGTCCTTTGTAGCATTCTCAGTACTTTCCTTCATGTCTTATATAGCCTGAATTCTGAAGCAATCCCTTTGACAGCTCTTTATATCACCTAACTGAAATATGAATGGAAAATATATAAATGGAAAATTACCTTTCCCACACACACATTTGCATTTGACCATTTGTTTTCCTGAACATTTAGAACTGTCCTCTGGTTTTGGTATAATGCTTTGCTTCTTTTTGGTTCCTGGGATTGATTGCAGGGCCTTATGGATCTTACCCTGAGGGGTTAGCCCCGGCCCTAGTATATTTCTTTATTACAGGCAAACTAAAACTTTTAGAATCATTCTTGTAACACATATTTTATATGTGCTTCTTCCCAAGTAAGCATTAATAGAAAACTTTTGTATATTTGATTAAAAGTTTCATTTTTAAATGAGAACATGATAACTTGGCCAAAACCTTTTCTCAATGAACTAAGATGTTTACTCATCCTGGGAATAGTGAGCAATCTTCCCAATAAACAATTTATTTTTAAATGAGAACATGATAACTTGGCCAAAACCTTTTCTCAATGAACTAAGATGTTTACTCATCCTGGGAATAGTGAGCAATCTTCCCAATAAAAACAATTTAGAGGAAGATTGAAAAGAAAAAAATAGATAAGATAATCTGATAAGAGTTCAGAGGGCATACAAAATCCAATATATAAAATATATTCATCTACCTAGAAGATTTACTGTAGGCAGGGAAAAATGTTCTCAAGGTAGTTACTTTATTTTTTTATTTTAATTTTAATTTTTTTATTTTTTGGTACCGGGTATTGAACTCGGGACCTTGTACTTACGAGGCAGGTGGTGGAACGAACCACTGAACTAAATTCCCCACCCACGTTTGTTACTTTATTAAGAAATGGGAATTAGCAAGTAAGAGACCTAAAAAGGAAGTCATTTTGAATTTGCCTTTTTAGAGGTTTAAGTCTTACAGAAAAGCAAATATAATCTAGAGTATTGTAATTTCAGTCTTAAAACTGAATGGGTAGAATGGAAGAATTAAAATTATAAAATGGAGTTACTGCTTTGAAGTCTCCCTGTTTGTTTTTGGTTGGCTTGTGAATAGTCTATAAAGAGTGCCTCCTGTTAATTTTTCTAGGAAGTGCACTAGAAAAATCCTTAGCTGTAAGTCAAGGTGGAGAGCTCTCTGAAGCATGGCTGGAACTTGGAAATGGTTGCCTCTGCTGTTCAGTGAAGTAGGAATGTGTTTACTCTGTGCTTGTTTTAGTTTACTAGAAATGTTTATTCCAGCTTTGATTTTCCTGTGCAAGTTAACTGAATTTAGACAGTTTGCTTCATTGTATTTACAAATAGGAAATACATTTTCAAGAGTTACTTACTTAAAGTGTTTCTTTTTTTTTTTTTTTTCATATTTACTCTATTGCTTTTGTCATTTTACTGAGCTTAAAGATTTTTTTCCATCTCAGGGTTTATTTAAATAATATGTAGAGCACAAGCTGGGGGTAGTAGCACACACATGTAATTCCAGCACTGTAGAGGCTAAGGCAGGAGGATCACTACAAGTTTTGAGGCCAGCCTGTGCAACAATGTGAGTTCAAAACCAGCCTGAACTACATAGTGAGACCTTGTCTCAAAAAATAAAAATAAAAAAAACAAACACACACACACACACACACACAGAAAGAGAAGGTGCATGAAAATCTCCTTTCATGTATAAAAAGTCATTATTCTAAATTTAATACATCAGTCTTACTTCCAAATATTAAACCTCTTTTAAAACAAATGACTTTCCAAACAAGATGAAACAGTTAAGTTTTCCAGACTTATTAAACTGGCATAAATCCAAGAAGAGTACCTGATACAGAATAGCAACTAAAATATTTGTTGGATAAATTATGAAAATTAGTACGTGCAGTACTGATTTTGTGTATTCTAGTGAGTTAAATTGTTTTCTACATCATGGACTACCTTACATATTTGACTTTGAATCAAATGTATTAGGAGGGATAAAGTCATAACAAATTTTCTGAACCAAGATGTAATACAATATTTTTTCATTTTTTGTTATAAGAATATCATAATTTAAAATAAAATGTATACTAATTCAAGATAGAACTAAATGGTATTTAATGACACTGACCCTTTAGCTTTTAAACGTCTATAAGTAATAAATTTTACTATTTTAGATGTTCATTTTTATCTCTCAGAAAGCTGTAAATTAACAAACACTGACTCGATAAGTCAAAGTATTAACTCATTACATACATAACTTCTTTTAACTTTTCTGTGTATATGTCTCTTTCCTTTTCCTCATTGGTTAACATTGGATAGACAGTTTCTTAGGTGCTTAAGAAAGAGTTAAATTTTCACATGCATAAAGATATTTTTATGTTTTGTTGAATATGTTTTAAATGATCATTTAAAAGTATTTGAGTAATCAACAGTGGTATATTTTGGTCTTCTCTAGGGATAGTGGCCTTAGGGCTATTGAGAATTTGATGCAGAAGAAGGGGAAATTTGATTACATTCTGTTAGAGACCACTGGATTAGCTGATCCTGGTAAGAAGTGACATTGTGAATAACCAGAAGGTAGTTCTTTGACTTTTTTAAACAGATGTATCAGAGATATTTAAAGTGAGTAATTTTTTTTTAATCCATAATTAGCATTATTAGCCGGGGATTTATCTAAGTGATTGTGCTGCCTGCTTTGCAAGCAAGCGCAAGGTCGGGAGTTCAATCCCTGGTACTAAAAAAATAAAATAAAAATTAAAAAATTAACATTATTGATCATCGACTATTAGACAGATACATTTCAGCAGTTCTGAAGAACAAAGACGGTCCAAAATAGCATGCTTTGCCATTTACAGTTAAGTGAAAAAACAGACCTCAGTGTGCAATGCATTTATAATGATTTGTTAGTTCTCAGACCCAAAATGACCCCATGGTGCACCATTATCTTTTAAGATTATATATTGTGCACCTGTGGTGCCTGGCCACCTGGATATCAGCAGCAACAATGTTGACCTTAAGAGTTAAGACAAAGAGAAGGCAAACCATGGATTGCTTTGCTGTGCATATTTAAATTTCTTAATTTAAATTTCTTAATTCTATCCAGACAATTTAGATTAAGCATGCTATCGTCAAAGAGTGCATTTGTATTTGGGGACACAGTCAGTGGTTATTAACCAACAAGTCAGCACTGTTACATGGTAGAGTACCCTAAATGAATCACAATGAAGTCATTTGCTGAAAACAGAGTTGGAAATAAATTTAGCTCCACAGAACTAGTGTTGGCTTTGTTGGTTTCCCAAGCTGAGATAGAATTGTGAACTTAACTACAGGGCATACAAAGTGGGATTTATGCTAAGTGTCCTATATGTCTAAGTAATACCACACTTAGCAATACTATTTTCAAGTGTGACAATAAGAGATGTGTCCTTTTAGCAACAGATTTATAACTATACTTTTCACAAGCTCTACTAATTTACCTTCAAGCTAGTAATCTTTCCAAATTGAAATGACCTCCAAGTTACCTAAATTCTTTGGTATCTATGTGCTGCTACCATGAGATCACAGCAGGATCAGTGGGATTAAGGACACAAGACACTGAGCAAACTAAACTTATTCCAGACACAGGAGGCTGGGTGTGCATGAAACCAGATACCTGAATTTGTTGCTCTGATGTGTTTAAAATTTGGGGGAAGAGAGTCAATAAGACCAATTATCTGGCTGGAGGTCAGTTAAGTACCCACTATTTGTTGTTAAATTATGACCAATCGTTTGGGCGTACACCAGCAAAGAGTACAGTTATAATGAAAGGTTCTCCTACAGCCTCAATGATCTTGACTCTCACTAGACAGTCTATGAGATAGCAATGATAAAGGGCAATGAGACATGGAAACCGAAGCCCACGCCTCACACTGTTAGAGCCTGCTCTTGGGAAGGTTTAGCTGAAGGTTTCTAGAAAAACATGCACATTGTTAGGAAACCCTGCCAGAAAGATTTTATTCCTTTCTCCACAGCAGCCTCCTGGAGCTGGACAGCTGAGGGCATGCGCTTTACTTAGGAGGAAGGGCCAGGTTTCATTCTGTGGCCATGACGGCCCAACAAAGTCAGTGTGATTGTCCCCTATACAGGCGAGGACCTTGAGTCTCAGAACGTTTAGGCATTAGTCATTCAGAAAGCTACTTAGTGCAAAGCAAACCTAGGAATCTAAGATTCCACAACCTTTAGTCTTTCTGGGGAATTTACTTGTAAAGGAAAATGGATACGTTTAGAAAGAAAGCACTCAGTTCTCACAGAGGACATGCTCTGTCATGTCTTCTACCTCACGCTTGAGCTGAGCTGAGAGCAACACAACAATGAGGACATCAGAATGTGCAGATCAGACGGTGCTTCCCTACCTTGACTACCGGGTAGATGTCTGAGGATGGGTAGGTGATGGAGAAGATGGCAGATCTTGCCTGACTGGATGGGTCAACAGAAGGTGTGTGAGCTCGAAGAAAACCTTTGAACTGGTCAGAATTGAGGTCACAGTGAAAATTTTCTGAGATCTGTAAATAAGCAGAAAAGGGAAAAA